AGATGTTTGTGGCGATGGAGTCAACTCCCATGTTTCCTTTGGTGTCTAACGCTGTGTTCTGATTGGTCCGCGGCCCGTGACCTTCTCCAGGTGCACAGCAACAACCGACACACTCAGGGCGTCAGGGTCTTCAGCAGAGTGGAGTGTGTGTTCAAACCCGGGATCCTCCAGCCCTGGTCCTCTCCTGCCCTCACGCTGCCCGTGCCCCTGGAGGACCTGAAGGACCCCTCGTCCAGACCCGTCACGCTGCCACTCGGCGGCCGCCCGGCCCAGATCCTCTGCTGTAAATTCTTCTTCGCCGACCAGTGGCTGCTCATCAGCGAGATTTCTTTTCTCTCTGGTAAGAACCTCAACCTGAGAAGTCTTTGTTCCAGGAATTAAAATGCTCATCTGTCTTCCTCCTGCAGGGGGCACCGCAGCCATTGATGAGTCGGCATTATTTGACTGCTCAAAGTAAAAGTTTATAATATCTGATTCAGATGTTGTCTGCAGCGTCAGTGTTCACTTCTCCAGACCATAATGACTGAGTCAGCTCTTCAGTCTGTTAGTGTCCGTCGTTGATCAAACGCAGCCGGGCTGTCACTCTGGACTGGGCTCAAGGTGGAAACAACTTTACATTTTACTGTTCAGAGAACACTGTGGGAGTACCAGGAGATGCATGGAGCAGTGGCTCCCCCTTCAGGGAGCTCAGAAGTATTGGATTCTCTGAAGAAACTGCAGTAAATTTAAGTTTAAAAAAAAAAGTAAAGGTTGATTGAAGTGAGAAACTGCAGTAAACCACAGTAAATTTAAGTTTAAAAAAAAAAAAGTAAAGGTTGATTGATTTGTTTTCTAAACTTCATTTATAAAACTGGTTCATTTGATGCATCAGTATCGACAGTAGAATTTTTTTTTTTTTTTTAGTCGTGATCTGGCAGGGAGCCAATGTAAAGACCTGTGGGGTACAACCCGTGGCTCAGGAGCCACAGGTTGACACGATACATATCGCAATACAATATACGATACGATATATTGTGATAAACTGTGATACTATTGTCACAACGATATATTGACTTTAAATCTGTTGAATTTTTGATCTTCACCAGTGAATGACTGTGGTGAAGGAGGTGCTCCTTTATTAGGAGATTTATGTCTTGACCACACACACACCTGACTGTTCCAACAGTGACACAAATGAGAAACTAAAGTGCACCTTTATCCAGTGTATTACGGTAGTTCCACTTTAATAACCAGTGTCCTCTGTCCTCTGTCCTCTGTCTTCTGCTCCTGGTCCAGAACCCTTTGAGGAGGACGTGACAAACCCTGATTCATTCCTTCCTAATCCACCCAAGGTTCCCAGCAGCAGTTTATCTCCTCCTGTTAACCACACCTCCCTCCCCCCCACCTCCAACTACACCTCCTCCTCCAACACCACCGACGCCCGCTCTGGTAAGTCCTCCTCTCTGTCCTCCTCTCTGTCCTCCTCTCTGTCCTCCTCTCTGTCTTGGTTGTTTTTATTCACCTCACCCCGGGCTGTTCTCAGCCTGCCCCC